CCTTCTGTGCGTACTATGTGTTGAATGAATTTGACTTCTCTTCCCTACTGCTTTGGTTTTGTGACCTCTTACCGGTGTCTCTTGCAGATCTACATAACGTGTATTGTGAAGGCCACTCTTGCTTCTGCACCCAGTGATGCTCTCCGCAAATCCTGTTCCTTTTCCAATGGGTATGTTCATGCTACTTAAGAACATGTTGAAGGTGCCGTGTCTGATTTTTCTTGTTGCAGGTGGCTTGCTGCTGATGGGAACCACCAGGCTTGTGGTTGCTGTGACTCAACATGTGGTCCTGATGGAGGAAATGCTGCTCCTTTTGGGGGTAGGTAGCTATTTTAAGATTGCTTTTGACACTTCAAGTGCTTTACTTAACTTTGGTATTTGCTTTTTCTAGGCGTTCAGTGGGAAGGCAATGCCTCACTCGGTCCTGTAATGGTTCAAGAGCGACCGAAGACTTCAGCTGGTTTTCAATAAATGGAGAAACCTTTTCTTGTTATCCTGTCTAGTTTAACCAATTTGAATGTGCTGTAAGTGTGGGGAAACTGGTAGTCCTACTGTACCTATTCTCTATTTAGAAGGAAAAGCTCCCTTTTCTGAGTAGGGAAATTAACTTTACCTTTAAAGAGACCTACTGTGAACTTGGTTTAAGCTCCGTTTAAATTAAGTGAAGTCCATTGCCCATGGTGCTATAAATCGTTCTGCCAATCGGAGTCTCTGCCCCAAATGTTCTTAAACCCACTTCCCTGAAGCACTGCAGATATTTTGTATGCATCTTATGTTGTGTACTTATTGCTTTCTATATGTTCGTAACCGCAAATGAGTAGTTTTAATTCTCCTTTCGTCACCAAATTGAATTTATCATTTTTAAATTGGCTTCCAATGTACCTGCTGGTACATGCATACTTTTAGATCAATGGGTATGTTAAAAGAGACTCCCTTCCAGTTTTCAACTGCTTTTCCCACTTTTTGGAATTTTTCACCTTCAGTTGGGTTACGGTCTCAAGCATTTTAACTTGGGAAAGTGGCATGCATTTCATTTAATTTCGGTTTTATAGGCGGTGTGCCAAACTCTCAGAACCTGGGCTTTTTTTTTTTTTTCTTTTTCTGCAGTAAATTGCTTATAATAAAATGGAAGCACTGACCACAACACAAACTGAAACCTAATATTGTCTGGTATTAAAGGGATGGTTAATCCAAAATTGAAAATTACCCCATAATTTACTGAAGACATCATAGGTGTAGGACTTTCTTGGGACTATAATCTGTTTTACATTTTAAAGGTGTCCTGGCTATTCCCAGCTTTATAATGGCAGTGAATGGGTGATATTCAATTGTTGTCCAATAAATTGCGTCCATCCATAAAGTGGTCCACACAGTTCTGGGGGGTTAAAGGGTTTTGAAGCTAATCGAAGTGTATTTGAAATAATATCCATGTTTATAACTTTATAAAATTTAATCTCTTTAAATAAAAGTAAAACTTAAAAAGCCTATATAGACATAACAAACTAAAATGACAACATGACTACAACTGTAACTAAAATAGATAACTAACACAAATTAAAGTACATTAGTTCATCAGTAATTCTAAAAAAATAACACTGAGGCAAACACACATGCTAAAATAACAACTTACTGACACATAGTAAGAAATAGTTTATAAAAACCTGAAACAGAAGTGGAAAGAGGAGAGATAAAAAGCGATACTTATGTCCTTTGCCGGTGTCCTGCCCGGTGGAGTCGCATGGTAGAGTCGATGGTCTTTACACTCTTCGGTCTTCACACGACTGCAGCTGCGACCGCTTCCGTGGTAAACTAAGCTTTTTAATTAGTTTAACAAAACTCAAATTGAATTCAGCTGGACACCCTTTCCTGTTTATCCCAACAAATGGCCAAGCAAAGCGCACGACACTGACAAGGTACGCGATACAGTACGAGACCAAACGCCATTTCGCCATTTAAGTTCAGTTTTATAGGCAGTGTACCAAACTCTCAGAACCTGGGCTTTCTTTTTTTTTTTTTGCAGTAAATTGGTTATAATAATTTTTAAAAAAAGCATTGACCACAACACAAATTGAAACCTAATATTGTCTGGTATTAAAGGGATGGTTAATCCAAAATTGAACATTACCCCATAATTTACTGAAGAAAGAATAGGTGTAGGACTTTATTTCTTGTGACTCTAATCTATTTTACATTTTAAAGCTGTCCTGGCTGTTCCCAGCTTTATAATGGCAGTGAATGGGTGATATTCAATTGTTGTCCAATAAATTGCGTCCATCCATAAAGTGGTCCACACAGTTCTGGGGGGTTAAAGGGTTTTGAAGCTAATCGAAGTGTATTTGAAATAATATCCATGTTTATAACTTTATAAAATTTAATCTCTATCTTCCGCTAACTGGTACGTGTGTTCACTAGACAGTGGCGTTCCAGCTGATATGTATATGTACAGTAGCATATGCTTCGGTGAGAATGTTAGTCTCGCAAGAACCAAGTTTTGTTTAGAGAAGCAAAGTTTCCTTTATTTAGCAAAGGAAAACCAGTCTCCTCGGCTTATATTGAAATCCTGTGACATTTTTCTTTACAAATCCTTGTTTTGTACTTCTAAATTGTGACCGGTGTTTTGTTTTGCGCTCTACTCTGCGTGTCTGCGTTC